AATTTTAAACCCACTCCAATTTGGGTTGGGTTCTACTCCGGAGTGCTCCAGAGTAAACTACTCCATTAACAACCCTAAGTATAAGTCTTGATAAAAGCTGGGCCAAGCATTTTTGCAAATGTATGCTTAGTTACCAGCTCGCCAGTGTTGTTATGAAGTTTGTCACATTCTTTGGAATATTCGGATTTGAGTTTGGCAAAAGGAATTTCGGATGGTTGGAGGATATGGGTAGTATGAGGTGGGAGTGCATATAGCAGAATGCCATTTTCATAACAAAAGTTAACACTCATATAATTTACATGGCTTGTGTGTCTATCTAGTATTAAAAGAACGGGCCAACTAGGAAGAATAGAGTTAATGAAATGTTCAATATACATCTGGAAAAGGTTTTCGCGCATATATCCTGAGTCAGTAAATCCCATAACGGTGCCAGCCAGAGCCCCATCTAATAAATTTGGAATTGCATAAATGCCTTTGTAAATAAATAATGGAGGAATATAACTACCAGCGGCCGAAATTGTTGGGGCAACAGAAATATGTTCATGAGAATTACTATGTGCTATTTTATGAACCTGATGCGAACCTTTTGTAGCGAGTACTTTTTGGACTTTAGGAGCTATAACGAACCCCGTTTCATCCATATTCCAGATATGGTCCGCAGTGAGTGAATTTTCTTGAATGATTTTTTGAAGTTTTTCAAAATGATCCTTAATAATAACTGGATTTGCTCTTTGTACATGGGCTTCTGAGAGTGCCTGAGGCACACAAAAAGATAGATCAGAATGGTCCTTCAAAAAGCGTGACCACCAGGCCTTTCCAGGTTCACTATCATTGAAAGGATGAATACGATTGTTACTATTCACAATATTTATTACACAATAATTTATTCCAAATCGCATAAGTCCAAATCCTAGTCTCTGCATGTTTTTACAATAACCTACTAATTGTTGTTCTTCATGAATACTTAAAACTGTTGGAGGACCAGGTCGGTTGGGCAAGCCATTATTCTTCGTGTATCGTAAGGTTGTTTCAGCAATGTTAAATTTTAATGCAGTTGATCGTAAACTAGGTTTGTCAGGGCCATTAAGTGCTTTAAGAGCCAATTCAATAGTGTTTGTTTGGTTTTGTTGAGTTTTTTTTGATTTAGTGGGCTTAGACGAAATTTCGAAGTTCATTTTTGTTTTTTTTTTAATTTTTTTTTTTAATTTTTTAATTTTTTTTTTTATTTAGCTACAATTTATAATTTTTGTGCGACTTTTGTATACATCGCGATTGATTATCTTAAGCCATATTATTTTATTGTTTTAATCATAATTGCGATTGTTTTTTATATTGCAGCTTTTGTATGCAATCACAATCGTGATTATGATTAATTCACATATGCAACCATCATCGTGATTATGATTAATTTACTTAAAGAATATAAGCTCATTGTTTTAATCATGATCACGATTGCGATTATTTATTGTATTGGCTTTTGTATGCAATCACGAACATGATCATGATTGATTCTTTTAAGGCGATTGTATTTGTACTGGCTTTTGTATGCACGATTTTGTTTATTAGACAATTAAAGTTTTAACAAATAAAGCTAATTCTCAAAATTACTCTGAATCTAACTAAATCCGTATAGACAATGTTAATTTGTCAAATTTGTAAATCAAATGGCGGGTAGAATATTCCTCAAAAAACTTATAAAAAGAATATTTTGTTTATTGATTATAAAGAATAATTAAAAGCTTTATATATTAAAAAATGGAATACCTTCTTGATCCACGATTCGAAGAAATAAACGCAGTCTCAATTCTTCGTGATAATTTAATGAACCATGCCTATGATGCTGCAGAATTCAAAGATCAGATGAAGTACATTCTTCCAATTCTTTATGAACGACTTATTGGTCTTATAACCTATTTTTTGAAATTAATAGTTATAGATGAAATGATTAAGTCGATGAAGAATTATCACAGAAATGATCAAGAATTAGACAAAATAAGACAGTTTGTAATTTTTTTTGAGAATATTATATATAACTACAAATTTCTTGCAAAAATGGAATATATTTTGTTAATATTCAAAATATTATGCAAGGCTGAGGATGACGGTGGTATGTTTGATCAGGAATATAAATATTGTGCTACTCTTAAAGGTCTGGAAATGTGCAAATTTGTAGATTTGTTTTGCATGGGAGAAACATATAGGTCTAGTTTTCAAGATTTTTATTATGATTGTCATGATTCCCGTAGTGAAAAGGAGGAGTTGAGCTTCTTGACATAAATATATCATCAAGAAATTAAAATTATGTATTACGTATAATTAATAAATTGCTTAATTAGGCCAGATCATCAAGGGGCATGCTGGGTGTGTTGAATATACATTTGTTAATTTTTATCACTTTTGCTTGTATCTTGTGGCCAAGTGTTCCAATTAAAGCGATTTGTGTACCATTCGATTCGCCTTGATAAGACGAGTTGAATGGTACTAAAATTATTTTATTCTGATTACTGTATCTTGAGATATTATAAAAAAACTCCAGTGCGCCACATTACCTCCCGCGCCAGAATACGAAATAAAAGTATTCACATTTTGATCAAATATCACATGATGCGGAAGTCAATCCGTTACAGTAATTATATCAGCGCCATAATCAACAATGTTTTAAAACATTTTATTAAATCAAGTTAAAAAACATAAAAATCATTAAAAAGCGATTTTTTACCATCCCTACTAGAGATGGGCAAAGTAATTTTGTAAGTAATAATGACCTATGACTTATCCCTTACTTAATATTAAGTAATATTAAATAATTATTACATTCAATAAAACACATGATAATAGTCGGAGACAGGTGATCAAAATTGAGATTGAACGAAAAGGTGTTACTAATAATCAAATTATTGTAAAATACTTAATAATACCTATTGCAGGGTAATATTAAGTAATATTAAGTAATAATATGTAACTGACTTTGCCCATCTCTAATCCCTACTGTGAACTGATTGTCGGTGAATTGAGTGTCGGTGAATTGTTTGTCAGTGAATTGTTTGTCGGTGAATCGAGTGTCGGTGAATTGAGTGTCGGTGAATTAAGTGTCGATGAATTAAGCTTGTCGGTGAGTTAAGTGTCGGTGAAATGAACATGTCGGTGAATTGTTTGTCGGTGAAATGCTGTGTCTACGAAATGAGTGTCGGTGAAATGAACCCCCTACGATCGTATCTAATTTTCATAATTTCATAATTTTTAAAACGCATAAAAATTTGGCGACATGATAAAGACCAATTCGCCCCCATGCTAACGATAATATTCTTTGGATTGCGTAACATTTTGTAGAAATGTATGAACGACAACCGATGGTTTTGCTTTAGAAAATTTTTATAATTATAATATTTATACAATACTGCAATAATAAGTATTTATTAATTATTCAAATTCTATCATCAAATAAAGTAATACAATAATATCTATTATCGATCTACAGTATGTCTTATCTACTTAGATTACAAAAAAAACGATATGAAATAACTCATTATTAAACATAAAGTCAGATATAACCGATGTAATTATAAATCTTCTAGTAATAACAAATATCAGGATTCTGAACTAGTAATACTATGAAGCATAACTAGAGATGCTATGAAGCATAAGTAAAGTTTCTTGGCTATCATCAATAAATTATATTAGAAATTTGGAATAAATACAAGAGAAAAGTAATTAGTCACATTCAATACCTCTGAAAATCACCATCGAGTTTTAAATATCCTTGTTTTTCAAGCTTTGCAAAAAGGTTTTGGAATAAACGAAGTAATTTTGGATATCCAGTGATAAAAGTTTGCCGCATTAAAGGGGATCCTATAAAATAAAGATTATTAAAAATCAAATATTGATTATAGAAAGATAAATTTAAATTTGTAAATATAATCACCTTTTGTAACTTCTTTTAATTCTCTTTCAAAATTCAAAGATAAAGTTTTCCAAAAATGCTGAATTAAACCTCCATCTAATGTCTAAACATGTAAATACCAAATAAAAATTTTAATTCATCGATAATCTACACGCTAAGAGTTGTTTAAAGATATTCTATAAAAGACATTAACCTTTGCAACTTCATCCAAATATGAAACTTGTGTTATTTCATCCTTTTCATTAGCCAACACGTATTCTAGAGTATATATCTGTGTATGAATTTGCACAAATATTATCGATCGATCAAAATTCGTACAATATAGCATAAATTTCACAAAAACATATTAATAAAAACATAGGTAACCTTACTACAGGTTTCAGCAATGTTATCCATCAAAACTTCCATTCGCTTCCATAGTGCTGAAGTGATTATCGCGGTAGATCCTGCAGTTGGCTCTGAGCCTAATCGTCTAATTCCTTTCATCGAGGCAGCACCAAAGTCTATTAAATATCATCAAAGTATGATTGATAATCGACTCTTTTAAGATATAAATATATTAAAATGTATGCATATGAAGTTTAAAAGTTAACCTTTAATCTCTTTTTGAAGTGAAGCAGAATCAATAGCATTTCTCATTTGATCCAATAATTTTGCAAATATATCATCCACATATTTTGATACCCTCTCACCCATCTCATTAAGTTCATAAAATATTTGAAGGCCAAGAGTAATGTCAGCTTCTTTCTAGTCATAAACAGAAAGTTATAGTGAGTCGAATATCGTCGACTTATACTGTAACATTATTAAATATAGCAAACCTTATTGTCTATTCCTTCACTTAACAAACGAAATGCTTCGTCCGAAATCTTTATCTTTGATTGTCGAACTTTGGGCAGTTGAGTTTGGACAAGATCAATTCCCTCAAAATCAACATCTTTTAAAAGAGCCTCTATCAAATCAAATAAAGAGAAACCATCAATACCACCATATTATGCATTAAAATACCAAATAAACCTACCATATAAAGCTGCTTACCCAATTCACTAATACTTGAAGCAGCTTTAATACACTCGTTGCCTTTATCACATTCTTTACCAATGTCTACTAAATGATTTTCTAAGCATTTTACTAGATAAAAGAATCGAACAACCTTTCGTAATAAATCTGAAGCAATTTGTAACCTTTCCAATTGTACAGTGTAATTTTTTATTTGTGAATAAGGTGTATATATTTTTGTCTTAAGCCTAAACGAGAAAATTTTTTTTAATTAATTAAATTTTTTGAAGCATTATTAAATATATATTTAATTCAATTCCGTTTTATAATTACCTATCTAAAGATATATTAAGAGATTTAATTCCTTCTTTAACAGAATTTAATACAATCTCTAGATCTCTTATTCCAGCGGCTTGCAAAATTAAATCCTCGAAATGGGAAACAACCTAATAACCATGTAAAGTAATTTAGAAATTTTAAAAATAAATTGACACTAACAAAAAACATTTTATATAAACTAAACCTGGTCATGTAATTGTTTATTTAAATTATCAATACTAAATGATAATTTTGCAAGTGATATTGTTATATCACCTTCGCCGTCCGAGGTGGAGTTTACAGTAGAATTTGCATACTCTTTAGGATCAAAATTGTTCGATAAAAATGCCTTGTAATCTTAACAAAATTTAGAGTTAGTGCAATACGACGAATGGAGGAAGGCTTGTTGTTTGCTCACCTATATAAAGATCGGTTTCTGGCAAATTACTAGCCATGGTAATGAAAAAGATTCATGTACGTACGTACGTATATACGAAATAAAATTTTATTTTTTTGATATTTTTTGATTGGCTTATCTGTACTGATCATGATCACGTTAATTCCCGGTATATAAAAAAAATATATATATTATCTAATAAAAAAATCACTTAATGTATAAAAAGCATCAGTAGTATAGTGGCAGAATACTCGCCTTCCAAGCGAGTGGCCCGGGTTCGACTCCCGGCTGATGCAGCAAGCTGAGTCTAAGTTTTTTTTCTCCTATTTTTTTTTTTAGTACTACGTACTACGTACGTCGTACATCATACTGTCATAAAATCGATTGGTATTTGCACTAACATGTGACAATCAGCTAATAAAATTATACTTTTAACTCTTGTTATAGAAGAATACGGTTTTAAAAAAAAGTATTATATAAGCCTTATAAGTACGATTGTAAGTAATTGACTAATCAGGAGGTTAGCTTATACACTAGCTCTAGCTTATATACCTAATCCTTCATCTTTAGTGACAAAATTCTTGTTTTATTGCTTAAAATATTAAACATGATAAAGATCAACGTAATAAGTTCGGCCACATCCTAACTAGCGTTGTAAACTCAATTAAATTTAAATGCTAAAATAAATATTTTACAAAAATTTGCAATCAATATATCGTAATTAAATCTAGAGCTACATAAAAAAAACATTTTATTACTGTAATAATAATTTTGTCATTGATATAGTACGTGTATATATAGTTTGATGTAATGCCTTTTATTGTACGTACGTACGTACGTACAGTGATGGTTCAAACCAGGTATTCAATAAAGTAGTACAGTACGGCAGGGACGTGTAAATTCTGTGATTTGCTGTGATCGAAGCAAATCGCAAAAATTATGTGATTTACTGCGATTTGCTTCGATTGCTTCGATTTGCTTCGATTATAGAAAATGTATTTTTCAAGCGATATTTTTAGCAATATAATAAATTATTATATATTTCAATAGTTCAAAGAAATAATATACTATGGGCTATATATGAGTGCCTAAAAACCAAAATTTTGTTTTAGTGCAACTTTTTTTTCAAAAAAATGAAAGTTTTTATTAGGTAAATTTTTAATTTTTATACGAATTCGTACTTTTATTGTTAATAATCAGCATAATTTACTGATATCGAAAACATAATTTGTTAAGCTATATCACAGATTCCGCAGGTCCCTGCAGTACGGCAATACAGATTCGGACGGACATACAAAAGTTATACAAAAGTTTGATAGTACGTACGGTTAATATAGACTTGCAAAATTCAATTTTTATAAGTAACCATTTTTAATGATTATGTTGGGGTTAGTAGTAAAAGTAACTTGGGTTTGACGAATTTTTTCGTACAATCTTGATTTCTATATACCCGTTAAAATCCATCACTCTACGTACGTACGTACGTAGTTTATTAACTTGCTCATATTTACACGATCTTTAAATAATTAAATATATATACAAAAATATGTAATTTTGATTTTTAGCATTAGCTTTTATAATATCCAAATTAATTTTAATTATGATTACAACGCTAATCCTAACAATCTTGAATATCATAAACTTTAAAGATCATTAGGAATCACCAAACTTAATTTATTTGATACTTCTTGCGTGTTAATTAGTTTACTTGTATACATGTATGAAGGATGCTCCGGTTCATTCGGTTTTAGATTGATCTTATCAGCTTCTGAGAATTGACGTTTAATTTCATTATCATTATCTTGTTCCATCTCGTCAAGCCAATGAACAATTTTTGAATCAATGATGGTAGCTATTGGTCGTTTTTTCGGATCTGGATCCATGCATCGTTTAGCCAATGTAATGTAACATTCTGGAATTCCTTCATTAAATTCTGGCCTTTCGCCTCGACAAATTTTTACTGAAAGTTTAAGATCAAAAGGTATACCATCAAATGCTCTTTTTCCAGTCGCGATCTCTGTCATAATAATGCCAAGACTATAAATATCAGCAGCTTGTGAGAAAGGTTTTCCTTGTAGAACCTCTGGAGCAACGTATGGCATAATTCCATAAATTTGATCCTCTTGTTTTATACTAG